CCAACAGTTGACAGGCCGTATGCATGTGTGCGTGCGTGTGTGTGCGTCGCTTGCAGTCGCTCGATTGGTTGGCAGGCAATTTGCTAGCTTACTGCAAAGATCAGCAAAAATGTTTTAAACCTCGCCCCCCCCCCCCTCCTGCCCCCCTGGCCCCCGCCCCTTGGCCTCACCATTCCGACCCCTTTGTCAGACTCCGGCTAAAGGGGAGCGCAGCGGAAGCGAGAAGAGGCTAACGAGAGAAAAGCTAATTGCGCAGAGCTTTTAACCGTCGCGTTAATTGAATTGAATTGCAGCAGCAGTTGATGGCCTGCTACTGCAGCAGTAGCTCTTCTTCTTCTTCTTCTTCTTCTTCGTGTTGTTGTTGCTGTTGTCATTTTCATTCCACTGTCGCACCGTGGAGCAAGTGTACACAAACAGCTGGGCTAAATGCGACAGCTAAATCGATAATCGATAGTAAATAAATCGATATTTATCGACACAAATTTAAAAATATAAGTGCAGCTGGTTAATTGTGCTAAATCGATAGCTAACAACGCGATATTTATCGATCAAATTCAAAATGCATGTCTGCAGAACTGGGCTAAGCGCAGCAGCCTTATGTTAAATCGATAAATATCGATCACAAAGAAAATATCTAAAACTAAGCAAACTGGTGCGAAAGCCTGCAAAGTCTGGCTGAATTTGTGGTGAGCCCCCGTCAAGTTTTCAATATACTAAATAATTAATAAATTAATTAGTTGATAATGCACAAAAATCGATAAATCAAACAAGCGATAAATTGTGTAATCGAACATTGCAAAAAATGGCCTAAGTGTGGCATCTTTGAGCTTTAAGTTTGTGGTTTAATGAGCTTTGATATCAGAGGCATACTCGACAATTTATCGATAGCTTAGCGATAAGTGTGATTTAAAGTACGTAACACATTTTAAGGCAAATGTGCCCTGTAATGTCACATTATGCTATGTGAATTATGTATGTGCGGAAAGGTCAAAGGTGAGTTATTATTAGAGGGCAAAATGAGCTGGACGCGGGACGCGGGACGCAGGATAATACAACAGTTGCGCAGCGATGGCTACGGGCAGAACGGCAAAAGAGCTGGGCAGACGCGCTTGGGGGATTAATTGTAGCATTTAACAAATGTGACAGATTGACGATGACGACAACAACAAGAGCAGCAGCAGCAGCAGCAGCAGGATATGAGCAACCAAATCCTGACAGGCATATGCATGTGTGTGATTAACATTTTTTTTGTTTCATACGCTGAACGCATGGAAAATGAATAAAAAAAATACATATATCTATAACAGGCAGAAGAAGGCTTTAACGAGCACATTAAGCATATATGTATATTCTTGGTCAGCAGCAAAAGCCGAGTTGATGAAGCCAACTCGAAACTCGGATACTATAAGAACTTGAGACTTGGCATGGCTTCTCGTTTCGCACGCGCAGAATAAAGTTGAGTTCATGCCAACAATTACCACGAAATATCGATAAATATCAATTTTACAATTGCTTTTTATTCGGATTTAGCAATATCTCGGAGGTTGTTTGGGAGAGATCAACCTAAACTGTAATTTTTTTGGTATATTCAACTTTCTGGCAAGCTGAACTCATTGCCTGTCAACAGCTCGAAGAATAATGAAGCGATATTCTCGGTCTTTGGTATGCACACACTTGAGTATGCCGTATTCAAGCTCTGAAAGTTTCATAAAGATCGGAAGGAAAATACCCGAGTTAAACAAGAACACGTTTCCCAAAGTGTGATTCCATTAGGGAAGAAGAAGACGAAGAAGAAGCACTAGAGGTATGCAATGACTTGATGAGGGAAGAAGAAGCACACATAAAAACCATGAAATTCTTATAGTGCATAAATATTTGATTATATTTAGCGACAGCTTGTTACAGGGTATCTCGCAGTCAGTCAGAGGCGACTTGTTGCCAGCTTTTGTTTCTCCTGTTTGCTGGCAATTTATGAAATTCATTTTTTGCCTACGTTGTGATTATTTATTCAAAATGCAGAAACAATCGAGAGCAGAAGCTGGCAAAGTGGTCGAAAAAATAAAAAAAAAAAAAAAAAAACCGAAAAAAACAGAAACAGGAAAATAAAACAACAAAAAGGGTTGATGACGGCAGCATGGGCGGGGGACCGGGGGGGCGTGGCCAGTTATTGCTAAATAAATGAATAACACAATTTATGCATGACGAACATTTATAATTACATTTCGAAATAATTTAATTAAAATTGTTAACGCTTGATTGAAGCTTAATCGCAATGGACAGGTTCAGCTTGCAACAGCAACAACTTAATTTAATTAGCCTATCAATACAACAGCAACAACAACAGCAACAACAGCAAACAGGTCGGCAAACTAACCGATTGACCATATCTATAAAAATGCATCTCCCTTTTGGCCTGTAGCCAGCCCTTCTGCCCTTTCCCGCAGCCCTTAACCAAACCCCGGCTTCACCTTGCTGCAAGCAAATGTCAAACATTTTTTGACAAATTTGTCGCACACGGCAAATAAAAGTTAAGGCTGCAGGTTTTTGTGGTGGGGCGGAGGAGTGGTGCGGGGTTTATTCAACAAATAAAACCGATCAGCAGCAGGAGAGGCAGCGGGAGCGGGGTGGAGGGGATAGAGAGGCGGCGGCAGAGGCAGAGGCTAGGAGGGCCAGGGGCAGGGGCAGAGATAGCAACAGCGGTAATTAAAAGCCAACCAAATGTCCAAATACCAAAGCCACACAAATAAAACCAAGCCAAACACACACAAACACACACACACACGCACACACACACAACACACACATTGCCACAAAAGGAAGAAAAAGGTAGTAGAAAAAAGTGCAAAGGCAAATGTTGGGCAAATTAGTAGAAGAAGCGACAATAGACTAATAATGTTCAGCCGACTAGCGTATGCCCTTTACAGGGGCAAAAGCAGCAGTATCAGCCGGACAGATAGCTTGGCGATAGTTTGGCCAACAAGGAAAAGGGTGCAATTCTAACCTCAAAACCAATTCGGTTTCATTGATGCAAGTGATGCAGGCGGATAAGAAAGCGATAGAAAAGCGATAGGGCAATAAAAGGGAGAAGCGAGAGAAATTGGTCGTGGATTCGAACCCGAATACATTGCCTTCTAGTTGCGTCCATAAAAACGGGCTTACTTGGAAGCATTTAGCCAAAACTTTTGCTTAGGTTGTTGAACTGTGAACTAGTTCAAATCGGAATGGAAACACAAGCGGAACCGGAAGCTGAACTTATTTTAATAAATATAATTTGCCATAAATTTATTTTTGTTATCGCAGCCAAAGGACTTTATTTGTCGATGAGAGTAGCTTCAAATAGTGGGCTAATAGCGACTAACACACACAGGTAGATAAAGTAGCCACACACACACACAAAATCAACACACACACACACACACATGTTGCCGAGTCGTATGTAAATATGTGTTGGTTATGCCCACAAATCAATTAAGTCGATTGAGGCGCCGCTTTTTGAGCCAAACACATGGACAAGGGCAGCGAAAGGAGGGCAGGGTAGCTGCAGGGGTAGAAGGGGATGGCAGGGTGCCGCTCTTAGGTGCCGTGAATTGACGCAAAGCCAAAAGGCAAACGGATTTTGAAGCAGCTCCGAAAAATTGGCAACTCTAACTGACTGAAGCTGTACTCAAAGTAAAAGTCGCGGTCGGTTTACAAAATGTTCACAAAATGTGTTTTCCCTATTTTAAACACAAAATAATCACATTGGAAAATTGCAGAAATTGCCAATTGAGCCATCAAATTTACAGAGTATGTCGGGGTAAAAATATTAAAAGAATATACTATATTAAGCAAAAGAGAGAAAAGAAAAGAAAATTGAAAAAATTTGAAACTTGAGCATTTACTAAAACTGTTCAGTTAAGTTGGCGATTCGTTGGCGAAATAGTTTTTAATATTTAGCTGTTTTTTAGTTCAATTCTTAATTATTTTTATAAAATATTTAAATATTTTTTAACATTTATTTATTCGCACTTTGTGCATTTCAAATAGTTCGCCCGAAAGTAGGCAACACTTTTCGAAACACAATTGGCGAATTCATGGCGAAAGTGATTGCCAAGAGCTGAGAACATATATTTATAATTAGTCTATTTTTTGTTTGTTTTTGGAATAACTTGAAAAAAAAACTTTGTATTTATTTTGCAATTACGGTTGATCGCTAAATAAAAGAAAAATTAAAAACAAAAGGAACAAATTCAAAAAAATATATATTCTATTATATGTATGTGTTATTTATATTATTATTTTTTTTTATAGTTGTTATAGATTATTAATTGAATATAATTATGAATTTCTATAAGCTGATTGACTGAAAGCGAAGCGCTGAAAAGTAGGCAACATGTTTTTAAAGCTATATATATATATACTCAATAGATATATATGTATAAATAATATTATGTAATATTAATATTATGTATGTATTATGTATATATAAATAAATGAATATACGATTTAAGTTTAAATTGATTTATTAATTTGAATTTGAAGCGCAAGAAAGTAGGCAATAGATATTGTGAAGTCTCCAGTTAATTTGGCTTAAAATGTGCAAAATATGCTGCAACAGCAACAACAACAACAGCAACAGCAACAACAAGAACAACATGGTCCAATTAAACAGACCAAACCGACAACAAACAAAAAGCTGGCAGCATAATCTCGACAACAGCCGAAGCTGAGAGGCAGAGCCGAGGAAGCAGCAGCAGCCGAAGGACTCACACAGCTGACAGGACTCTTGGTGTGTTGGTGTGTGTGTGTGTGTGTGTGTGAGAGTGTGTGTGTGTGCGACTGGCTGTGTGTTGGCTATAAAACGCGGCAGGCGCCACGAGGCGGTCATCAGTTCGAATTTGAGTTGCACACGTGACGGTTGGCAGCAGCTGCTCTTCCTCTGCAGCCGCCACTTGCCGCACACGACTCGCGCGTCGCGTCTTCGCGTTGTTTTTTTTTTTGGAGTTTTTTTTTTTTTTGAAATGTTTACCAATTGGCTAACTGGCAGCAGCAGCGGCGGCAGCAACGGCAGCGCCAACAGCCGCCTGTCGAATGCCGCTGCTGCCACAAGCTGCAGCAACATGCCGCTTGGCGTTGGCGGCGTCATTTCCACGCCGCCGGATGTTATACTCGAGGTGGGCCCAGCGCCGAGCAGCGTGCGCTTTGTGGCACACGCTCTGGTGCTGGGCATGCACAGCGGCTATTTGCGCTCGGCCATACGCATGGATGAGGCAACAGTTGCAGCCGCAGCCGCAGCAGCAGCGGCAGCGGCAGTTGCAACACCGCAAGCGAGTGCAACTGTTGCTGGTGCTGCTGCTGGCGGTGAATTGCTGCTGTATCTGGGCAATGTGACGGCGGAGCAATTCGCGCCGCTGTTGACATACATGTACACCGGCTACTTGGATCTGAATGTGGACAACATATTTGCCGTGCTGCTGGCGACGCATGTCTTGCATATGCCGCGCGCTTTGGAGATTTGTCGGTAGGCAGTTTGTTTTCTTTTGTTTTGATTTGTTTTGTTTTTATTGTGTGTGTTGCCAGTTGCAAGTTATGTTTGTTTTTCTATTACTCTCGCCGTTCACTCGCAGCGCGTTTCTGGCGCGCGCCCAAACCGAGGGCTATCTGAGCGGCAGTCCAGCCAATCCGCACCAGCTGCAGCTGGCGGCTGGAAGCGGCGCCTCCAAGATCATAAGGCCCATACCGAGCAAAGCGACATTGCCGAATTTTGGCTTTCTGCCAGCGCCGCCGCCAACAATTGCTGCTGCAGCCTACATGCAACAGCCGGTGGCAGCAGCTGAGCAGCTGCAATTGACTGAGTCGGAGCAGCAGCTGCAGCTGGACAAGGACAAGGAAAAGCAGAAGAAGATGGAGGAAACGGAAGCGACGGCGGCGGCGGAGGAGGAGGAGGATGTGGAGGTGTTTATCGATAGCAACACGGCCACCGACAACGAGCTGGACACGGAGGATTGCAACGTGTCCGTGGTCAGCAGCCTGGCGAGCAGCAGCGCCGCCAGCAGCCTGAACATTGAGCGTGTGGAAAGCAAAAAGCAAGCGACGCCGCCGCCGTTGCCGCCAGCGCCGCCAGCAGCAGCAACTGTTGCCACAACAAGCGCAAGCAATAAGCAGCGACGCGGCGGCAACAGCGCACGCAAAAGCTCAATCAAACGCAGCAGCAGCAGCAACAACAGCAACAACAACAACAGCGGCAACAATCGCGGACTGCAGCTGGCCAAGACGCCGCTGCCGAGCGTGCAGCTGGAGACGGCAACACCGGCCACCAAATTCATCATCGATGTGGCCAGCTGCGATGGACCCGTACGCTTTCGCCGCATACTGAACACGGCGTACGGCCATAAGCCGGACAACAGCTGCTTTGAGGCAGCTGGCGGCGGCGGCGGCGGCGAGCAGCGCACACAGCAAAGCGTCAGCTATTCGTTTCACCAGCAAATGGCGCGGGCCATCAGCAGCCAGCAGCGGCAGCAGCAGCAGCAGCAGGAGGCGAATGAGAATAGCACCGATGCGGCAGCAACATCTACAGCTGCAACAGCTACAGCGGCAACATCTGCAACAGCAGCAACTGCAGCAACAGCAGCAACACATCGCAAGCAAACGCATGCGGAGCTGTTCGTGTGCGTTTACTGCAAACACACATTCAAATCGCAGTATTGCTATCAGAAGCACGCCAAGCGGCATCTCAATCCGCTCAGCTTGGACAAGAAGTTGGCGGAGACAACGCCGCAGCTCAGCAGCAACAGCCTAACAACAACAGCAACAGTAGCAACAACAGCAGCAGCAACAGCAGCAGCAGCAGCAGCAGCAGCAACAACGCCAGCTGCAGCAGCAACAGTTGCTGCGGGCGCGGATGCAACATTGTCGGCGGCGGCCTTGCTGCGCCGCGAGGTGCGTCCGCTGGACATGAACGTGCAGTATTATCCTTGCAAGACGTGCGGCAGCAAGTTTCCCAGCTACTATTTTGTGCACAAGCATCGCAAGCTGTGCCACGCCGATGAGCTGGACAACAGCAGCAACAACAACAGCAACAGCAACAACAACAACAACAACAGCTCGATTAGCAGCAGCAGCGGCGGCAACAGCAACAGCAGCGCCGCAAAGCGTGAGGCAACAACTGCAACGGAAGCAACGGAGGCAGCGCCCTAAACTAATGCAACAAAACAAAACCGAAACCAAAACAACTAATCGATTAATTATCGAATTAAGCACGCAATTAAATGCACGCACACACACACGCATACGGACGCACACACACCAAAGCACAACCACTTTTTTTTTTTGTGAATCGCTCTAAAGTTTGCATGAATAAAATTTAATTGTAAAACCAAAAAGAAAACAAAAAACATGTGAGCTTCATTTTTATCGATAAATGGCATCGATTAACTTTTAGGTGCCAAAAATATGCGTAGTTGAATTAAATATTATAATATTGTATATCGATATTGTATATCGATAAATGACATCGATTAACTTTTAAGTGCCAAAAATATGCATATTTTATTGAAATATTGTTCTATCGATAAATGGCATAGATTAATTGAAAAGTGTCTAACTTATGCGTATTTGAATTAAATATTATATTATCGATAATTGTTATCGATACACTTTGAAGGGCCAAAAACATGCATATTTGAATGAATCGATTAAGTTGAAAATATGTCTATAATGAGCGTTTGAATTTAACATAGTTTTTATCGATAAATGACGATCAATTTCAAAAGTGTCAAAAATACGCATATTTGTAATTAAGTATTTTTTTCCATCGACAAATGACATCGACTAATTTAAAATATACCACTAAAATATTTAATTTGACGCTGTTATCGACTTATCGATACATTTGAATCGTTTAAGTTGAGCCAACAGTCATTGCTAACAGCTCACAAACTAAGTGCAAAGGATATATTCAACATTGTTATCGATAAATGCTAAATCGATCGATTTTCGGTTATAGAATTTAGATAATCAAAATGGACGCACAAAATCAAGCAACTGTTCTCATTGTTAAATCGATAACAACATAACAACTTCCGATAAACAATATAACAAACTGTTAGTTGTGAAAACAAACGTCTATCGATTGCGCTGATCAAATGCAATCTAAAGAAATTGACGTGATTCAACACTGTTATCGTCCGCTATGTGTGCTATCGATATTTGTTTGGCCAGAACTTCATATTCAATTGCACATACTTTAAGACAAAAAATGAGGGTGCAGCAAGCTCTATCATTTTAACAACGCCTGGTATCGATAAATGAAAGCTAATCGATTATAGCTTGTTATCGATAGATAAGCGAAGGGCAAACGCAACAATTGCTTGTGGAGAAAAGTGTTTGTTATCGATAAACGCAAAATAACAGCTAATCGCAACTAAACAATGCACGTCGATAGCAGTTATCGATAACGCTTATCGATTGTTGCAAACAACCTTTACAACAACAATCCCGCGAGCTAACCAGGATTTATCAAAACATTGATTCGCCAGAAGCCCCGCCCCCTCCCTTGCAGAGCCCACGGCTCGGGCGCCATTCAGCTAGCGCTCGTTTGTTGCAAAAGATGGCGTCGGTTAATGCAAACAAACGTTGCGGCAATTTAATAATTAAATTAAATCACTTGCATAATAAAAAAGACGTTTACAAAAATTTTAATTTAATTGCGTTTAATTAACTCGCCAGGGAGATGACAGCCAAACGGAGGCCGGAAATGGCTGAAGGGTGGCAGAAAGTGAAAGAGAGCGAGAGAGAGAGAGAGAGAGAGAGAGAGAGAGAGAGAGAGAGAGAGAGAGAGAGAGAGCTGGAGATGCAAACAAAGCGCACTGCAAGAGCTGAGCTGAGCTGAATGACAGACGACAGACAAATGGACAGACGGACGGAAAGGATGCGGCGACAGAGGCTGCACAACCAGAACGACCCACTCGGGGCACGCGAAAACGTGGCACGCACTCAATCAAGCATCCAATGTGGCAGCCACACAGCACAGCAAAGGCAGCAAAGGCAGCAAAGGCAGCCCAAGCAAGGCTTGAGGCAAATGCGGAGCATCAAATATGCATAGGGGGGACAGAGTCAGGGCGGACGTCAAACAGTGAGAGGCGTGGGGATAAAGAGTATCAAGCGGGGGGGGGGAGGTAGTTGGGAAGGAGGGGCAAACACTTAATAAACAGATGCCACACAAAGCGCAAAAACTGCAATTGTGAAGGCGCAAATGCATTTTTGATAAGCACAAAGGCCACGCGAGTTGTTCCAAATGCAGTTCAACGATAAAAGCTGAAAAAGCTCAGCAAAAAATGTCAAAAAAAAAAAACGTGTTAACAGCAAAAGTTAGCTTTAAAAGCTTTGAGCATAACGTGACGCACGTTTAAAGCTCAAGCTAGAGCAGAGCAGAGCCTTAAAGCTAGAAGAGCTACAAAAGCTTTTTGAAAGCTCGGCCAAAAGCCGTTGCCCGGAAAGCAGCTCAAAGCTCAAAGGCTCCAAGTTGTTGCCGAAAAAGTTTTCTGGCAATTGGGGAATTTAGCTGCTTGGATGTCAAAGCCTTGCAAAGGAGCTTTTACGAAATATGAGAATTTTGCCAGAGCTTAAAGCAGAAATTCCCCGCACAGGGAGAGAGAGAGAGAGAGAAAGAAAGGGAGAGGACGAGCTGGGCGTGGAAATTTCGGAAGCTTTCAGAGCTTTTAACGAGTTCAAGGCTTGGGTGTTTTGAGATGAGTATAATTAATATTAAAGAAAACTTGCAGCACTTACCTTTGCCATCCAATGCCAGAACCTCGGATGTGCTCAGCAAATTGCCAGCCCGATCTGTCACCATGGTCGGCGTCAATGCCGTCGCTGGCCTTGTGCCTGCTCCAGGTCCTGCTACCATCGCGGCCACCGCTGCCGTTGTGGCCATGGCGCTGCTGTAGAGCAACGATATGGATGCGGCGGGCGTCAGCATTGAGCCGGGGCCCTTGTCAATGAACGAGACTTGATTCGATGCGTCCTTGGTGTTGGTCACTTTGATGTTGTTGTTGCTGCTGTTATTGTTGTTGCTGTTGTTGCTGCTGTTGTTGTTGTTGTTGTTGTTGTTGCTGGCGTTGTTTGCCTCGCCGGGCGTCAGCTCGTAACGTTTCTTCTTGGCCTCGCTATAACAAATGATACAACAATTAAACACTTGCTTTATACATCTCTTATCGATACTTTTCTATTTGGTATTGTTTTATCGATAGATAGTTTTATCGATTAAATGAAATATTTGCGTTGCATATCTTGTATCGATACATGTCTAACAAATATTCATCTATTGATAGACTTACTTATATGAAGTACTGTGTAATCGATAGCTCCACATTTTATGATTATAACTTCTAAACGATATTTCTTTTGATCGAAAACTTACCTAACATCCGTGTGCAGGTCATTGCCGGCACCGAGTCCCTCGACTTGCGCCGCCTTCAGCTTCTGGCCCAAATAGTTGCCAGCCGTGGTGGCCGTCGTAAGCGTTGCGTTGCTCACAGGCTCCGATGCAGCCGCATTGGGCACAACGAAGCCAGCAGCAGCTGCAGTATTCGATGCGGCCTTGACGATTTTATCGCCCGTTGCATTTGTCGACGTTGTTGCTGCAGCTCCGGTTGCGGCATCGTCAAGGCCAGCTGCTGGCGCTGGCGCCTTGACGTTGGCCATGACGACGCTCTGGTAGCCGGGCTTGAAGCCGTTGATCGCCACGCTGACCGCGGGCGTTGTTGAGGGCGTGGCACTGACTCCGGCTGTACCAGTTGCTGTAAAAATAATGCAAAGTAATAAGAAATTGTGCTCAAATGTTAATGATAAAAATACGGAATTGTTATCGCTTGAGTGCCTTTCGATATTTCAAAGAAGTTCATCAACAATAATGACGGCGTGTTTAACTTTCACTTAATCGTTTGCAGTTGTTATCGATAAAGTGTGCGTTGCTTGTAACAGCTAATTGATTGCTGTTGTTATCGATAACTGTCGATCAAAAAATAGGGGTTGCATTCATTTCTTATTTAAGAATTTAATTTATCGATTTCGATTTAGACAGTTCAGAATCATATGTAAATACGACACAAATGGAAGATTTTCGAAATTGGAAACATGGCCTGAATTCACAGATGTGAGAGACAAGGAAGGAAAACTTAGGTGCGAGACAATTGCTGAGAAGCATTATACGAAATATCGATACAAATCGATTTCGATACATATCGTTTTCAACACATATCCATTTCGATACAAATCTCTGTACATATTTCTATACAAATCGAATTCGATACAGATAGTTTTTTTAATACATGTCGACTTCGATACATATTGATTGAAATACATCGATTTCGATACAAATCGTCTTAAATACATATCGACTTCGATACACATCGTTTTCAATACATATCGATTTAAGTACATATCGTCTCTGCTAAACATCTTTTCCAATACATATCGATTTCGATAAATATTTTTGTGCACGCTTGAGCGTGATAACGATAAGTTATCGATTGCTTACCATTGTAGCTATCGGTGGCCTTTGCTTTGCTCTTGGCGGCCCGATGCTCATCCGCCTCCGCTGGCTGCTCCCGCTCGGACTTGGCTGCTGCTGCGGCTGCTGCTGCTGCTGCGGCTGCTGCTGCTTTTGCTTCGCCTGGCTGCAACTTGGACGCCTTGGGCGCTGCCGCTGCGCCGGCGGCTGCATTGCTGGCAGCAGCTGTTGCCGCTGCCGCTGCCGCTGCAGCTGTTGCAGTTGCAGCGGACGACGTGGATGCAACCGCTTGCTCCTCAGCGGTTTTGGCTTTGGCATCGCTGCTGCTGCTGCTGCTGCTGCCCGTTGAGATCTCCGTTTTAGCTGCTGCTGCAGCTGCTGTTGCATGCTTCCCTGCTGCCGCATGCGTCGCCTTCGCAGCGTCCGTCTTATCAGCTGCTGCTGCAGCGGCGGCTGCGGCGGCGACTGCTGCTGCTGCTGCAGCTGCAGTCTTGGCCACCTTCTCGCTGCCGGCAGCCGCCTCGGCGGCCTTGCTAACGGCGCTCGCCTTCTCGGCGGCACACTCGGCCGCCTTGGCGGCATCGGCGGCGGCCTTTTCGGCGACACGCTCCCGTTCGGCAGCGCGTTCGGCACGCTCGCGTTCGGCGACGGCGCTGGAACGATTGCCGGATTTCTGTTGCTGTTCGCGCTGTAGGCGAGTCGTGACGCCAGTTGTTAGGGAATCGATAATGCATTGGGGCTGTTGGGCCTGGGCCTTGGCCGGGTTGCGGCTGCTGCGCGTCCGTTGGCGGGATTTGCGCAACAGCTGCTTGTAGTTCTCCGTCTTTTTGCTGAGGTAGTAATAGCGTACGCAATCCTGCGGCGATTTGCGGTCCAGGCTGGCCGCAATGGCACCAAAGTTCTTCGGATGCTGTAGATATTTCTCCTTGAACGTCTCCTTCTCGCCGGCTGTCCACAGATTGAGGGCCTTGCGCTCCTCGTGTACGGCCACCATGTCCTCGATGCGTCCGTTCTCGTTGTGGTAGGCGCAATGGCGTTGACGGGCGTCGTGCATTAGGGGCGGTATAACGGCATAGGAGCGCATCTTTTTATCCTCCAGCGCCTGCTCCTGCAGGCCGTCCATGATCTCTTCGAGATCTGCCTCGGATTTGATGCGCGAGCCGACACGATTGAAGCGCTCCTTATCCTCGCGCTGTTTACGCAACTCCGTGAACACCTTCTCGAAGAATTCACGATTCTTGGCCTCGCGCGCCTTCCGCTTGGCACTGCCCTCGGCCCGTTCGCATCGGCGCTGCCAATCGGCCTGATCCTTGGTATATTTCTCAACCAGACCCTGATTGTGCTCCCAGCGTTCCGCTTTCAATTTGCGTATATGCGTCAGCAGGGGATTCTTGATCAGCGTCTGATGGCGTTTGATTAGATGCGTTAATGCCTCCACATCCAGCGGTTGATTATATAACGGCAGCCAGGGGCGTGCCCGTTCCTCGCCGCCGCCCGCCTCCTCCACCTGGGAATGTTGTTCGGCGGCCGTCTTTCGGTTCGCCTCATAGATGCCCTGCGCCAGCATCTGTGTACGCCACGCCAGCTCCATAATCTCATTGCCGCCGCCGCTGCTCGTGCCGCTGCTCGTTCCGCTGACGCTGCTGCAGCTGGCGCCGCTCTCTGCAACGGCTGCCTGTTGCTGCTTGATTGCGGCCACTGTTGCCACCGCCTCGTCCAGCAGCGCCTTCTCCTTTCTGCGCAACGTTTCCATTGCCGTTTCGGCGCACTTGATCTCATTGTCCACACGTTGGATTTGCATCAATAGCTCCTCCTTGGCGATGTTGCTGCTGTTGTTGCTGCTGCTGCTGCTGGTGCTGGCGTTGTTGTTGCTGCTGTTGTTGTTGTTGTTGCTGCTGCTGCTGCCGCTGCTGCGGGCACGCTCCTCGGCATTGTCGCTGGGCAACGTGGGCGAAATGGCCTCCACCTGTGTTTGTGCGAGAAGAATCTTGATTAAATACAGCTCACAATTGTTGTGCAATGACATTGGCTTACAGTGGCACTCAAACTGTGCAAAAATAATATAATAATAAGGACAAGACTGCAAAAACTCTTCGTGTTCATCTATGAAAAATGTGCAAAACTCTATTCACAACGGAAAAACAGCTGAAAAGGGCGACTTTTTGATTATAGTCAGAGTGGCTCTCAAACTGTATAACCAAGCCAAATGACTCGCAAACTGTTGCTGAGCATTTCTTGTCTTTATCTATAAGATATTTTTTTCTATTGCACAATAATCTATTCAAGCGTAAAATATCAGCTGAAAAATTGACTTTGATTGGAAGAATGACTGCACAACTGTAAGCTCAATTCAGTGTCCGTCAAACTGTGAGTATAGTAAATATGTGTGCTCTCAAACTGTATAACCAAGGCAAGTGACTCACAAACTGTTATTGAGCAATTTTTGATCTTTATCAGGAAGAGATCTTTCCGTCCGCCTAATACTCCATTCATAGTGTCTATTTGATATAAAGACTTATTTTAAAACTGTAAACCCCTAGCTAGTGACTGACAAACTGTATGTGAGCAATTCTTTGACTTAATCTATGAAGCTGAAAGACTCCTTACAAAGTGGCTGAACACATACAAGTTCTATATTTCTCTATAGCTTATCAATTCTACAGTTTTCTTAAGATTTGGGCTTTAGAAAAAGCTTATTAAAGCTGTCTAACGTATTTGAAATGAATAAATTTATAAAAGCCTTTAAGCTTTTTGGTGCTTAACAGCTAAAAGCTACAAATACTAGCTATATATTCTCTTTAGCTTAATTTTGCACACTTTATCTGATATTTGAGCTTTTTATAAAGCACATTAAGGCTGTTAAAAGTGTTTAAAATGATTATTTATGGCATAAGCTTTAAGCTTTGCTGTGCTAAGAGTCTCCTTCCAATATAAGCTGAGCCTGCTAGCTATATATACTCTATATAGCTTTATATTCTATACTTTTGCTGTTATTGGAGCTTTCCAAAAAGCACATTAAACCTGTTCAAAGTGTTCAAAAGCTTTGCTATAAACAGTTTTTTTTTTGTTTGCCTAGCTTTAAGCGCCAACTTTAAGCTAATGTCATTGCTAAATCAATTCTTCACCTGTGGATGGTATGCCTCGGAGCTGCTGGCGGCTGCTGCCGCCGCCGCAGCTGCTGCTGCTGCTGCCATTGCAGCTTGGCTGCTGCCCATTCCGCAGCTGAGGCTGCTGCCGATGTTGCTGCCGATGTTGCCGCCGATGCTGCTGCTGATGCTGCTGCTGCTGTTCATGGGCGCCGTGGAGACGCTGATCAGCTGGGCTGTTGAGACAATTGGCGGCGGCAAAATGCCACGTGGCGCATGCGCATGCTGCTGCTGCTGCTGCTGCTGTTGTTGCTGCTGCTGTTGTTGCTGCTGCTGCTGTTGTTGTTGGGGCAGCGTTTCCACCTTGAGCTGTTGCATGGCCAGCGGTGTCAGCACAGAGGCAGCTGCCGCGGCAGCGGACATGTGCAACACGGCGCCATGATTGCTCTGCCGGCTGTTGTGCTGCTGAGCGGGTGACGAGCGCTGCTGCTGCTGCTGCTGCTGTTGCTGTTGCTGCTGTTGCTGGTGTGGCAGGTGATTCATGCTGCTGGCATTGGGCTCGCTCAAACGCTGCTTCTTATAGGGCTGGCCCATGCTGCCCGGCGGCTCAGACAGCGCCTGATGATGCTGCTGCTGCTGCTGCTGTTGTTGCTGCTGCTGCTGCTGCTGTTGTCGCTGATTGACCGCTGCCACAGCTGCGGCATTGGTCAGGTATTCGTTGTTGTACTGCAACGTTGGGTAATGCGACATGGCCTCCATGACGAGCACGCTGCCCGGCTGGGCGCCCGGCGGCGGCATATTGCCGGCCACTTGGACAACGCCGCCGGCACCGGGACCAGCGACAGATGAGGCGCCGCCGCCCGGTCCGGTCTTGCAGCCACCGCCAACGGCACTGGAGGCCACAGTTGCTGCACGTCCGGCACGCTGAAATTCCGGCACCGAGGCCTGAGGTATCCGCATATAATGGTTCTCCCGATAGCTGGCCACCGGCGCGATTCCAATGCTGTACGCCGGCGACTGTATAAAATGTTGCGGTGCATCCGCAAACTTTGCATAGCTATTCGCAGCCGCAGCGGCCGCCGCGCTGCCCGGTCCGGGACGTGGCGGCGACAGCGGACTAGCTGCCGAGCGCGAGGATTGCTGCTGCTGCTGCGGCTGCTGTTGCTGTTGCTGCTGCTGCTGCTGCTGCTGATGGTGGTGATGGTGATGCATTTGCTGCTGATGCTGCTGATGCTGCTGCTGCTGATGCTGCTGCTGCTGATGGGCGTGGCCCAAGCTCTTGACATACTGCTGCTGATCCATGGTCCGGTACGGCCTGAAGGTGGAGCGAGAGGAACAGGAGAGAGTTATTAGATAACTAGATAAGTTGTTACGACTATATAATACGATCTATCTGTATCCCTTCATTCGCATATTGATCTTGAATCTGTAAATCAACTAACTAGCTAAGCAAACAGCATAATTGCTCCCTTGCAACCTTTTGATCGATATATATCGATTCGTAATAGCGTAACACTCGATTGTTCATAAAACTCTATCGATAGGTTTTTACGCTATACTCTATAAAGCAAAACCAATCCAACTAAATGTGGACCAAAGCAAAGGACAACATCTTGCTACACACTTAATCGATATATATCGTCAACAAATTAACAATTGATTTAACAAATAGTTCATTTACAATAGTAAGCCTATAAAATTCTGTTTGAACTGACGATCGTTCACTCGATACTATCGCCTGAACTCAGCTACGCGTTAACCATCATAAAAACTAGCACAACTGAACAATCAGCATAATTTAAATAATATGCATATATATATATATATAATATATCTGCACATGTAAATATACATATTTATGTGCCCCAATTTGGCTGGATTTAGTCAATTGATGAATGAATCTTTATTGCATGCTATATGCAAAAATTAGCATTAGGTGTATTCACAGTAGGCGCGTATTATGGCCAGTTGGCGATGAAGTGGCGACAAGTGGGTAAACGGGCTTGACCCCAATGCGAACGCTTAGCTTAATCAAAGCTAATCGAATGAGGACGCGAGTGCAACGCGATCGCAATTTGCAAGAAGATGCACAAAATTAAATGGGCTTTGATTTGGTGATGCGCCTTAATTTTACTTTTTTTATTGAGGACACAAACCCGGCCGGCGGGCCAACCGCTTCACACATGTTGCACACGGTGTGGGTGTGGGTGTGGATGTGGATGTGAGCGAGCGCGCACAAGCGAACGAAACGACAAAAATGAGCGAGATGGCAAGCGTATCGCTGTGCTGCTCGTATTCGTGGCGCGCGTGCCTGTGTGTGTGAGTGAATGCGACAAAGCAGCAGCATAGCGCGATTAGACTTGGTCGTACAACATGTGCACAGCGAACGGCAACATCCAGCATGTTACGACAACATGTGCGCAGCGAACATGTCAGACAGCGTCAAAACGACGCTCGACGTCGGCTGCTGCCATGCCATAATCCACCCCGCGTCTGCGTTCATTATTTAAATTTTTAAACGGCAGCGCGTCGCTGCTGCAACGCGTTTGACGCTACGTTTGAGATATGATTAACGTGAGACGCGTCTGACCTACGGCCGTTGCGAGCGACCGCGGGGCGACAATAACGACGTCACACATCGAGAAACGGTTTGAGAGGGAAGCTGGGCGCGGGGGGGTATGCATGAGAAACAGACACCCGCCCGCACAGGGCTCGTTTATTTATTCATTAAATAATAATGACACACACACACACACACACACATAAACATAGCTACGCAGAGCACGGCAACGGCATGCAAAGGTGCGCAACGTTGCCGAACTTCAGCAATTGCTATTTTTAAAGAATGAAGCATGCGAAATAGCACTTTAAAGCTGCGCTGCCGCCCCGCCCCCACGGGCTGCCCATCAGGCGGCGGCGGCGGCGGCTGTCTGGCTCATTCAGCTTTAAAATCAAACGACGACGACGACGACGACGTCGCTGCCCCGACGCCTCCTGCTGCTGCCTGCCATTTCTCATCAATCATATCGACCTACAGCAATATACACGCGCACGCACACACACACACACACACACATAGAAAACGGAACCTCGCGCAACCCCAAAACCCCTGTCGCAATATCCCAAACCCCGCAGCCCCGCAGCCCCGCATTGCCAACAGTTGCCAATTTGCGAGCTCCTCCTTTGAATACGTTTCGAGTTTCTTTTGTGCCCAGGTTCGCTTAGATGTCTTACCTGCAAGAGAGAGAGAGAGAGAGACAGAGAGAGAGGGCGAAAATTAGTAAATTTGCGCGATTATTGATTGCATAAGAATTTAATAATACAAAAAACTTCTATAAATAACTTAGATTATAATTATATTTGGAATTTAAATATTCTGTTCTATATTCATTTTGCTGCCTATTATCTTTTCCTTGTACTTTGGTATTTTACACGTACTATCTAAAAAGTTAATTATATCAATCAAATATTTCATTTACATTCTAGCTAATTTCGTCTTTTATTTGGTATACAGTGGGCTCTCGCAAATTGAGTACACTGGAGTTCGCACACGAATTGTAAACTTCTTTTTTGGTAGTCCTCTTTCCTATTTCCCACATTATTTATATTGTATTATATTATATATGTATGTATATTTGTTACTTTTTATATAAATACTTTGTACCTAATATATAAATATATATATATATAAATATATATATATATAAATATATATATATATAAATATATATATATTCTTTGCACAGACCTGTCTTTCTCAAAGCAAACTCTTATCGCGGCTAGAGGTATACAGGGGGCAGGGGGTACTTCAATCTATACATTATAAATATATATATATATATGTATTCTCAAAATGGCCGCTAGTCGAAATAAGTTTTAAAACCCCTCATAAAGCCTAATATTATATTATATTATATTCTGTAGAATATATTTATATATATGTATATATTCTATATATATATATATTAAGACTTTTAAAATAATACAAAATGTTTCTCAACCATAGCATTCTATAAATACAATATGTATTATTAAAAAAAAAAATAGATTAGGATTTCTAAAAAACATTATTTCCGGATGACCACATTTCTGAAAAATATCAATTTACTGAATATAACTATGTGTATATGATTTGCATATGATTTAAACTTATTGAGATCCTTAGAGCACCAATATAATGAAAGTGTTTAAGTATTTCCTATTAATTTGCATTTGTGTAATTATTATTTTGAAGAGTTTATGCAAAAGAAAGACATGGAAATAGAACATTTCTGACAAATGCGCATATAAATATTAGAAATATTATTTTATACAAATATATCGTACATGTTGTACAACATTATCGAGGTGTTGTGATTTTTCGAGCCACCACTGTATGCACTTTAATTACTTTTTCGGCTGTTTGTTCCAAGCACAAAAAAAAAAGCGCTTTGCACTTGAAAGCTTAAGCTTTGAAAAAATTCAGCAACAACTTTTAATTATTTATTTATTTATTCGTTTTTTGTTTTTCCCGCCGAGTTTCTCAATTTGATTTTAATCTGTTATCACTTGCGCTCGCTTTCCCACCAAATGCAACTTTAGTGCGACCAAAAGGTAAAAAAGAAAAGAAGCGAACGCAGGTAAACAAACAACACAAGAGCTTTGACAATAATAAGCTCTGCTGCCGCAGCTCGCAGCTCCCAGAGCTCTCAAACTGAGCGCGGTCTCTCTGCCCCTATCTTGCTCTCTCGCTCTATCCTGCTTCCTTTTTAGCCGCTGCTGCTGCTCCGCTGCTGCTGCTGCTGCTGCTGCTGCTGCTGCTCCGCTGCGCCTGCGGCTGCGGCTGCTGTTTGCGTGGGCCTTAAAGTTGCGCCACGAACATCAACAAATAATTAAAATTTGCAACGTGAATATGGTATGTTTTTTTGTTGTTCTTCTCCTTGCATTTGTTTTTGTTTTGCCTTTCTTGTTGTTGTAAAGTTGAAGGCACGCGGCAGCAGCAGCAACAGCAGCAGCAGCTGCTGCGTTGGCCACGGCGACAGCGACAGCGACGCTGGCAGCGGCACTGAGACAGGTCACATGTACCGTTATGTGCATATTCATGTGCGTGTACATGTGACAGAGCCTGTGCCCGTGGCTGTGCCCGTGGCTGTGCATGTGGCCGTGCATGTGGCCGTGCAGAAGTGTGCGTGTGCCTGACAGCATCCTGGCGCGCCCTGCAGCCACCCGCCGGGCCATAAAGCAGCCACGCCTGTGCGCCACATTGCATGTGCTATATATACAAATACACGTGCAGATACAAATGTCCATGCATATAAATATATATACATATATATATATATTTATGTGCAAATACAAGTCTGTGTGTGGCATATATAAAATAAAAGACGCCATGCAAGCAAAACTAACTGCGAGGGCAGCCAGAGGGCAGGCGCACACACCCACGCAAATAGCGAGCGAATCTGGTGTGGAGACACACGAATGCGAAAAAAGAAGAGAAGGAAGCAGCAGCAGCAGCAGCGGCAGCAGCAGCAACAACAACAACGGCAGCAGCAGCAGTTAAGCAAGTTGTCCTGTCGCAGCCTGAAGGCAAATGCCGCTACAACGCAGTAAAAGAGAAGCCCGTAGGAGTTGCCGGGCGCGACGCTGGGGCTAGGCGCTCAACCAGGCAGGCGACCCCCCTTCGACACGGCACTGGCCATGCTCAGGCGTCTGCCTTACGGCTCTGGGCATGTGGCGAGGCAAGTGCAAAAATTTATCGATTTTTATGTGAGCGTGTGCGTGCGTGTGTCCCGTCTGTATGTGTGTGAGTGTCCCGTGTTTTTGCACCGTTTTTAACGGTTACGTACGGCTGAGTGTGCGTGGCAGGGGGTCAGGTGGTGTGCGGCGAACGGACATGCCTTGTTATAAATGCCCGGGAGTGCGCACGGGCGTGGGCACGTGGACAACAGCAGCCGGTAGGTGGCTGCATTTTGTATGCCGCCATGCCTGATTATTATCCAGACAACACCCCCGCCCCCCCCCCCCCCTTCCACACCCACTAGGCACCCCCTACAGCGATCATCCAACTGTCCCTAGCCCTGCGGCAGCTCCACTGGGAGGGAGGCTGTCCTTTATAGGCGCAAAACTTTTGAGCTGAAGCAGAGGCCGTGACTGGAGAAGAGGGCGACGGGAAAACAACTTTAAAAACTAACTTTCATCCTGTGGCTCCTGTGCTGCTGCTGCTTGTGTCACCCTGTTGTCGGAGCTGTGTGTGCCATTAAATTTTAGCTGGGCTGGAAATTTAATTTGCGGTTAAGACTGCCAACAGCTTAACAGGCTTAGAAAGAGGGAAAG